GGGGTGTGTTGGACCGCTTCCTCGTGGCATATCATTTAATTTGTTCCTCCTCCCCTGTGTTTTCTGTAACCGGAAGTTATGTCTGGACTAGAGGTTTGCTTAGATTCCAGTGAAATATGTCTGGCAAGAAGATTCAGAGGGGGTGCCAAGTTCTTTATATGCCACCACTCCAGGTAGCAGCTAGTGTCAGGTTTGCTCCCCTGTGAGTGCAACAAAGTGTGAGCGCTTGGCAAAGGCCGTGGCCCCCAGAGCTCCCACTGGAAAGGGGCATGCTTCTCTCTCCAGTGAGTAAGTAATTTGCAGGGCAACCCTTTGGCACCTTGGGGGGAAGAAATCCTGTTTGGGGATACCTAGTTTGTTTAACATTTTTTATTCTGGAAAAAAATTTAAACCTGCAGAAAAGTTGCAGAAATAATACAATGAACTCTCATAGATCCTTCACCTGGACCAGTTCTGAACATTTTGCCACATTTACCTTTTTCTTTCTCTATCTTGCTCTACCAACTGTCTGTCTGTCATCTATCGATAGAAACACTTGAACATAAGTTGCAAACCATTCACCCTAAACCCTCCAGCGCATCCTTGTCTAAACACGCTGCAGTAATCAAATCCAGGAAGGTCAACACTTGTACCGCATTACAACTCACACTCACTCTCCATTCAGACGTCATCAGCTGTCCCGCTGTCTTTTATAGTCCTTCCCCTGAGTCAGATCCAATCTAGGGTCATGACTTGTATTTCCCGACCATGCCTCTTTCGTCTTCTTTCATCTTTTATACAGTCTCTGAGCTTTAAAAAAAAAAAGATCTTTCATGTTGACATTTTTGCAGCGTGCAGCCAGACGTGTTGGAGACTGCTGCACAGTTGCCTTGGGAGTAGATCCAGGTCACACATTTCAGCAGGAACACTCTGTGAACAAAGTGGTGGTGCGCTCCCACCGGGAGGTCGCGGCGTCAGTCCGCCCTGTGACTGGCGATGTTCACTTTCATCACTTGGTTAAGATGGGATCTGTCAGCTTCCTTTGCGATAAAGGAAGGTTTTTTTTTTTTAATCTCTTTGTAATAAGTGGATATTCCATGGGGAGATTCTGTCCACCAGTGACCTAAGGTCCACTGATGATGCTTGCCTGAACCCTAATGTTACTATGAGGTTTGCAAAAGGATTTCTCTCTTGTTCCTGCATGTGTGCCACTGAAAATAATTTTTCCTTTTCTTTTATTCTTTATTTATTTTAAAAACATATCAGTATGGATTCAGCGTGTTATATACCATTATGTTTATTATTCGTTTTGATGTTCGAATTGTCCCCAGTTGCGCTGTCTGGAAGTCCATTCAAACTAGTCCTGTGTCTTTTTCTAAACATGCTCCCATTGTTTCTTTGAGCCCATCCTTACTTTGTGGAACAAGTACACCATTACCATGCCTGCTCCTGGCTTCAAATTTAGCTCTTTCTTCTGGGAGCCCTAGCTGCTTCTCTAGTGGGTGATGGTGTGAGAGACCAAAATCTGGATGCAAGGTGTGCTCACTGCGGCTGGGTGTCCCTGCTTCTAGTATGTTTCAGGACTCAAGGTGGGGATGTACATGCATCTGTAAAACAGGAGTTCATGCCGATACCATCGGGTTCTTCCCTGCCTGACCCCATATTCTGATTTGCTGCCTCCTCCTTTCAGAATGCAACTCCAGCTCCCCAAAACAGCCATCTGTTTGCACATGTGCTCCACCCTACAGTACACACAGAAACCTTAAGAACTGCTACCCCCAGACCACTCCCAATAAAAATCTACTGAGTAAGGTTCAAGATTTCTTTGCAGATCTTTCTGTCTTTAGACTGAAATATATAATCAAAGAACTGTATTCAAAAGTTACTTGGATTACTACTCCCCCGACTCCACCCCTGTGATTGTCTTGTTCATTTGATATAAAGTTAGCTTCATTTATTTTTGTTTGTACTTAATCTTAGTTTTCCCCCATCCTTGTTGATTTTTTTCTTTTGAATGTATAAAATATTAGCATATTCCATGCAAAAAATATGTATTCAGGGGAGGAGTACTGTTTCCATACTCTCTCTTCCTGTTCTCACCTACCCCCTATAGGTAATCAACTTCACTTGTCTGTTTTCCTTCCTCTATCTCTTTTTGCAAAAATAACTGGATGCCCATATGTGTTTTTATGTACCTTTTTTTTCCTACATGGTACTGTCCTGTAAACCTTTTTACAGTACTTTTTGTTTGCTTTTACTTAGTGATATAGTCTGCAGGTATCACTGAACTCTGCATCAACCCACAGCGATCTTCATCATTCTCACTGCGTGGTGATGCCATACTCTTTCACATGATGTTTTATAGTTTATTCCACAGATCCTCTATGTAAGGGTATCTAGGTCATTTCCAATATTTTGCAATTATGAATACTACTGCAGTGAATCAACTTGTGCATATGTACTTTCCTACCATTGGAGGGATATCTTAAGGGTAAATTCCCAGAAATGGGATTGCTGGGTTAAAGGATGAATACACTTGTAGTTGTGTTCAGTATCATCAGATTCCCTTCTGCAGGGATTGTGCCATTTTGCATTCCCAGCAGCAGCTTCTAAGAGTTTCTCTTTCCCTGGCCTTGCCAAAAGTGAAGCTTTTTAACTTTTGGCAATTCAATGGATGAGAAGTGGTATCCCCTTATAGTTTTCAGCTGCGTTTCTCTTTGAGTGAGGAAGCTTTTTTTTTTTTTTAAAGAGGAATTGCAGAAGGGCTTTCTAAAGAGACAAGGAAGGAGAGAGCTAAACGAAGTGACAGAGAGAGAGATGGAGATCTCTGGCAGAAGATCATTCCAGTTAGCGAGAACAGCAGGAGCAAAGGCCCTGAGGCAGAAATGAGCTTGATGTGTTCAAGAAAGAGCAGGAAATGCAGAGATCTAGGTAGGGGGAGCAAGGAGAATCTGACCAGGGATAAGATTGACAGGGACCACACATGCAGTCGTTGTAGTCCAGGGGCAGGAAAGTTTTTCCATAAAAGGCCAGATAATAAATATCTTCATTTTTACTGGCCATACAGTCTCTGTTGCAACTACTCAGCTTTGCCACTGCAGTCATAGCTGATGTGTAACTGAATAAGTGTGGCTGTGTGCCAATAAACCTTTATTTATGGCCCCTGGAATTAGAAACTCACATACTTTTAAAACTGAGATAGTAGGAATCACAAAACATAAAGTTCATATAATTCAGCAGTTTTACTATATTTGCAACCATCTCTGTTACCTAATTTCACAACATTTTTATCACCATAAGAAATAACCTACACCCTTCAGCAGCTAGTCATGATTCCCCTTACACCTCATTCCTGGCAACCACTAACCTACTTTCTATCTCTGTGGGTTTTCCTATTTTGGACATTGCATATAAATGGAACCATACAATATGTGGTCTGGCTTATTTGTGTCTGGCTGCTTTCTCATAACATTTTTCTAGGTTCATCCATGTGGCAGTATAAATCAGTACCTCATTCCTTTTTTTGGCTGAATAATATTCCTTTATATGGCTATACCACATTTTGTTTACCCATTTAGTTGATAGACACTTGGATTGTTTCCACTTTTTGGCTATTATGAATAATGCTGCTACAAACATTCCTGCTCTAGTTTTTGTGTGAACATATGTTTCCAGTCCTCTTTCGTAGATACCTAGGAGTAGAATCACTGGGTCGTATGGTAATTCTATCTTTACCACTTTGAGGAACTGCCAAGTGAAATTCATATACTTTTTATGGGCCACAAAATAGCATCTTTTTGGTTTTTTCAACTTTTCAATTACATAAAAGCCGTTCTTAGCTAGTAGGCCATACAAAAACCGGAGGTGAAGTGGTTAGCTGGCAGGCTGTAGTTTACAGACCCAAGCTGTAGGCAATGGAAGGAACTTGGATTTATTTTGGGTCAATGGGTGTACAAATGCTTACTTGTAGGATTCTTAGGAAGGCTGCTGATAAAGATTACTTGGATGAATTTGGGGCAGGAGACTTTAGAGCCTCTTTAAGCCACCCTTGGCATGGCTCAAACCAGGTGTCTCCTCTCCACCTTCTCTCCATGTGCCTTTATTTCTTCAACTGTAAATGGAGATAAAAGTGCACCTACTTAAAGGGTTGTCATGAGGTTTAAGTGAGTTAATACATATACAACACTGAGCACAGTGCCTGGCACAGGGCAAGACCTACATAAAAAGTTGCTATCGTCCCTATCACCATTATTAATGATGTTGTGCTATTATTGTCCACACAGCCTCAGCTCAGGCCTCATCCTCTTCACCCTGGAATGTTACAACTCCAGTTTCTCCCATCCAGTCTCTTCCCAGAATCAACCAGCCCCCAGAGGACCTTCCAGTACCCCGATCTGGCCCTGCCCTTCCTTGCTCTCTGCTCTCAACTTTCCATGGCTCTCTAGTGCCCGTGGCATCGATGCCAAGTTCTCAGCTTGGCATTTGAGGCCTCTCATGGCTGTGCCCCTGCCCCCTTCTCTGGCCTCATTTCTGGTGGCTGCAGCCCATGTTTTGCCTACGTGGGGGGATCAGTGCCATGCTCCCCCTCCAAACCATGCCTGAGTGACAGAAGGGTGTGCTCATTCGTCCCTGGGCCTCATCCTTTAGATGTGGACGGGAAGCCTTCCTTGACTCCCCCTGCCCCTTCCCCAGGTGGGCTTGGCACCTCTTCCGGACCCCCAGGGCTCTGTGTCCCACATGGCGCTCCCGTATAGCGCATGCGCATGACCGTGTATGTGACCTCTGCCCAGCAGCTGCCTTTGCCTTCCGCAGCTGCACGGTGGGCTCCTATATGGCAAGGTAGTGGGGTGAGGAGGTCGGTTCAGCTCAGGGGTCCCCACCAGACAACGCCCAGCACACAGAGGCTTCAGAAGATGGACCTCAGTCCAGAACAGAGCAGGGAGAAGGGAGAGGACGGCAGCGAGATGGGGAGGGGCTGGGGTCTGCCGCTAACGGACCAAGGCACCCCTGTGCTCCCGCAGGCCTCTCCTTGGTGGTGGGCTTGGTTCTTTACATTTCCAGCATCAACGACGAGGTGATGAACAGGCCCAGCAGCTCTGAGCAGTATTTCCACTATCGCTACGGATGGTCTTTCGCCTTTGCTGCTTCCTCCTTCCTCCTCAAAGAGGTGATGTCTTGGGGTCCAGAATGCAGAGCTTTGGAGGCGGGGAGGTGGGGGCGTACACTCTGGATTAGAAGGGAGGTTGTGGCTGAGGGCCTAACCCCGGGGTCTGAGGGAGGAGGGCTGGCGTTCTGGTCTCTGGGTCTGAAAAAGGAGGACTGCGGGACCCTGGGGTCCTGGGGGAGGAAGGGCTGGGCCCTTATTCCCGGGGTCTGGGGAAGGACGAAGCTGGGGCCCTGGGATCTTGGGGAGGAGGGGTCGGGGGTCCCGAGTCGGGGGCAAGCGGGGGGCCAGGGTCTGGCCGTGGCCTGACCCTGCCCTGCCGCAGGGAGCCGGCGTTATGTCCGTGTACTTGTTCACCAAGCGCTACGCGGAGGAGGAGATGTACCGCCCGCACCCCGCCTTCTACCGCCCGCGCCTCAGCGACTGCTCCGACTACTCCGGCCAGTTTCTGCAGCCCGAGGCCTGGCGCCGCGGCCGCAGCCCCTCCGACATCTCCAGCGACGTGTCCATCCAGATGACGCAGAACTACCCTCCCGCCATCAAGTACCCCGACCACCTGCACATCTCCACCTCGCCCTGCTGAGGCCGCCCCGCGATGATGGCCACGCCCCATCGGGGCCCTCCCTCCATTTCATTGGTCCCTTCCGCTCCCTGGTGGCCCCTCCCCTTGGGGTGCCCGCCCCTTCCCCGCGGGCCCCGCCCCTCTCCTAGGTCTCTCTTGAGTCCCGGAGCCGCCGGGCTGTGCCGGCCCACCTGCCCTGCGCCCCCAACCGGCCTCCGGGGCGCGGGGCTGGAGAGGGGGACCCGGCTGCGGCCCGAACGCCTGCCAGCCTCTGTCCCCTCCGCCCCCGTCACTCTCATCTCCGGACCTTCGGGGTCCACGGGCGCAGCGAGGTGGGGGGGCCTCCTTGCTACGCGCGCAGCTCCGGGGCGGGGGCGGTGGGTACTGTCTACCTGGTCTCCCGCCCACACGCCGTCTCTGCTCACCGGGCGACCCCATCCTCCCAGCTGGGCGCTGCTCGGCTTCCTAAGGTTACCTGCCCTTTAGGGGGCGCTGTCTAACGGATCTTGCTTTCTTAGCTTACCTTGACTTATTTTTCTTCTCTTCCGCCTCCTCCAATACTGTCCTTTCCTCTGTTCCCGCTTATCCAAAGCCCCCAGGTGCATCCAGCCCCGCACACCTCACAAGGATGGAGACCCTGGGGTGCAGAGAGTTCCTCCCTGCATTTCCACACCTGTGCCCGCCTCTTTCCCCTCGAGGCCCCGTCGGGGGAGACAGAGGCAGTAGCGGGGGTCGACACCCCCCAAACCTCGAAGTCTTCCATTTTTTGGCACCCCCTCATTGAAGTCCCCCTTCCCATCCAAGACCCCCAACTCTGGCCTCTTTCAAGGGTCCGTCCGCCCCCTGGGACAGATTTGTGGGGGTCACCAGAAACGCCACCCCCTTATCAGGGGAGGGGCGATGTAGCACAGTGTTGTACACGGAACCAGAAAGGCCCCCTGGGTGGGTGGAGGGAGGCGGGGGAGGGACGAGAGCTTTTAGTTTGCATCTTAGGTGGGAGGGGGGAAGGGAGACCGCAGCAGTTAACCTGTCACTAACGCACCGATTTTTAACGAGGCTGGGGGGAGGGGGGCTTTAGGGGTGGGAAGGGGGGTTGGGGGGGGCCTGGCTCTGTTATTTACCGTGTATCATATGTAAATACCGACAGAAACTTCAATAAACTTTATTTCAAACACGTCTCCGCCTGCCTGGGGGAAGGGGCTGGATACAGGGGGCTGGGTCCAGGTCTCTTCCCCTACGGTCGGGGGCCCAGAGGGCTGCTGAATAGGACTGGGTCCGTCTTGTTAAACCGCTTAATAATCGCAATGATTAACTGCAGCACTTTACTATTCAGTCCGTGTAAAGGATGTGGGACAGCAAATGACACCTGTCAGGATCAATAAAAATAAGCCCTTAGTCTCACTATGACCACTTACTACTCTTGCCTGCCTGCCTTTTCCGTTGCTTCGTTCAGTTTTCTCCCAAGCCTGCACGTTGAATTCATGCCACTCATTTTGCTGACAGGTCCACAGAGGTGAAATGATTCGCCCAGAGCCACACAGGAAAAAATTGGCAGAGCTGTGAACTGAAACTAGGTTCATCTGGTTCCGAAACTTGAGCCTCTTTCCTCTTACGCCAGGGAGTAGTGGGTTCTCCTAATGCTTGGCCCCATTGCTTTGTTGAGAAATAACTGCTACCATTTATCGTACACCTACTATGAGCTGCACACCTTCCTCCCATACTTGGTCTCATGAGACATTTCCAGCAGCCGTGCATGTAGGAATGATCATTCACACGCGATTTGCGGGGAAGGGATTGAGATTCCTATGCTGGCTCTTAAGATCTGTGATCTCAGCTGCTACACTAAGGGACTGAAAACAACCTGAATGTTTGTGTTTGATAAGCTTATTCCGGAAATGCATTGAAAAGAAACAGGGCTAGCCCTTTGGCTCTTTTTGTCTAGATTTAGCCTCTTCTGGGGAAATCAGAACAACTTCGGTAACGGCACCCGATAACAGCCACAACCACACTTACCCGGCCATCCTTCGGTGTCAGACACTGTGCCGAGTACTTTTCATGTATTAATTAGCTCGTTGGACTGTCCAAAACATCCTGTGAACTAGGTATTCCAAACAGCCCCATCCTGTAGATGAAGCAACTGAGTTCCAGGAGCTAAGGTCCCGCAGCTGACGAGATGCAACAAAGAATGCATGCTCAAGACTGACCTCAGCGGCTATATTTTACTACAACACACCGAGTGCAAAGTCATACTGTGACCTTGAGCAAGTCCTTTGTCTCTGGGGCTTCAGTTTTGTTTTGTTTTGTTCTCCTGTAAAAATGGAGGCTGATGGGTGAGAAGACTTCCAAATCCCCCTGGAACAAGGACAGTGGTGGCTGTAGGTTAGGAGGAAAGAATTATAGTTCAGCAGGGTCAGATTCCCTAGGGGAAATATTCTGAGTCATTTTCAATAATTTCAGGGATTTCTGGAGGTCACTCCAGAGATTTGGGATGGCAAATATGTTTCAGTTTCTTGTCAAGACTAATCAATTCTTAGTGGCTGCTGGGAGCACAGTATTGAGAAGGATTTTGAATATCTAGCTACTCACTGGGAAACGATGACCCTATCGACTGGTGCTGTCTGACATCCTGATCAACTGGTGCTGTCTGTCCTGTCTGCAGGATGGACATTGTGATAACAGTACTGAGATATTTGCTGATTTTGCCCAGAACTTAATGACCTGAAATCTTAAAGTTAATGTTCTTAAAAAAAAAAATCAACTTTCTTGGTTCTTGTTTTTATTTAACGTCAAAAATGGATTCCATGAAGATTTGTTTATCTTTTTTGAAAGGAATACTGTAAAAAAGATCAGCCCATTTCTGACCTCCCAACACCAAAAAACCCCCCTTCCCCTCAGGTTTTACATCTTTTCATGTATAATTTCAACAGTACTATGTGCATATTAAAGATTACATGTATGCATTGAAATCCACACCGAGGTGAATATGCAGCATATACATGTTTATGTGACACAGCGTTCATCATAGATACACACAGCTCTGTACCTTCCAACTGCACGTGGCAGTGTATCAGGGGGATCACTTAGTATCAGTTATATAACTCTACCTTGTTTTTCAAGGCTGCTTGATAACAATGGTTTGCATAAATTAATTGCATCATTTATCAAGTGTTTTCTGTGTGCAGCCAATTTGTATTCAAGTCCTAAGCACTTTACATTCAATAACCCTGAGAGTGAGAGGAGGTGCCTTCATTATCATCCCTATTTTATAAATAAGATCCTGAGGCACAGAGAGGTTAATTAACCCTTTCCTGGTCACACAGCTAGTAAGTGTCCAAGCTAAGATCTGAATTCTGGGAGTTTCCTGAGTCTGCCAGGCTTAGCCACTAAGCTGTATACCTCCATGGACACTGAAGTATATAGTTCCATCTATTTATCTATTGATCACCATTTTTACACAGTGTTTTGCACTTATTTAGTTTACAGCCTCGGGGTTCTCCCTGGGGCATCCCTGAGACCTGTTTAAGGGGTCCATGAGGTCAAAACCAACATTACAAAAATACTAAGATACTGTTTGCCTTTTTGACACTTAATCTGTCATGAGCATATAGAGTTGCGCATCTCTGGTGAGTTCACAATGTCTGATGACACGCAAGCTGAATGCAGAAGTAGCTGCGAGGGCCCAGCTTACTTCTATTAGGCCAAATGTTGAGCAGATTTTCAAAATTAGGAACTAATGCCATTCTGTTTTTGTTTGTTTGTTTGTTTTTCAAGAAAGCATAGTTACCTTCATTGGAAATAAGTTGCTTATGAAAATATTCAATGAGTTTTTATTATTTTACTTAAGTCAATACATATCCTAAAACCTCCATATGTTAAATGTCAGCAAACCTCACACAAACACAAATGCTTTTGGGGTTCTCTATAATTTTTAAGCATAAAGAGGGGTCCTGAGACCAAAAGGCCTAAGCATTGCTATTGTGCATCATGGAGGCCTCATTTTTTTCAATGGCTGTGTAGTGATCTCTTGAATGGAGGTCTTAACGATGAACTCTTTTTTATGATACATTTAATACCCAGCCATGGTGTCCAAATCCAAGCAGCAGAGAAGGGTAGAAATAATAAATGTAACTGCCTTCTTCTTGTGTTCTCAATCCCAGTCTCATGTCCCACAGGGGACAATTGTTATCACTTCCTTCCAGACCTCCAGGGGACATCAGGCAATATCTGTGGACATTTTTAGATGTCCCTCAAGGGGAGCAGGGGCTGTTAGCCTCTGGTGAGTAGAGCCCAGGCACGGTGCTAACCGTCCTACCACAGCCCCCACCCCAAAAAATGACCTGGTCTGAGATGTGACTAGTGCTGACGATACAGAAACCTGTCTAAATTTATGCGTTTGCATATCCTCCCTCTTTTCATTTGCCTTTGTTTATTGACATAAATGGGATTTTGCTAAATCTATTAATAACCAGTGACTCTTCACTTGTAGCGATTGGGGATCACTTTGAAAATCAGGTAACAGGTGTGGATGCCCCAGGAAAGAATACCCATGTTCACAAAATTTTGTATATAATTTCCAGAGGCTTCACAGACACCCCAAAGCCCAGCCAGAACTCCTTGGATGTGTGGTTTTCAAAAAACGCAGTCCCAGGACATCCCCCCTGGAGTGAGATCACGAGCTGCACCCCACCCTCCCCACTCCCTCTACAGACAAGGGAACCAAGGTTACAGAGAGGTCAAGGGTTCGGTTCCGGGCCCCTTAGGGAGGCAAGGAAAAGCGAGAACTGGAACTCACGCCACCTGACTCCCCAGCGCTGGAATATTTCCACTTCACCCTGAATGAGGACGTTTTAGAAACGCTGATCTCCTTTTCCTGGTACAGCAGGAAAACACGCCACCAACACTCTGTTCCTCTTGAGAAAACACAAAGGCCCAGCTGTTGTTGATGAGAAACACTCAAGCACCTGGAAAAAAGCACATTGAGGATTTGAGGCAGGGAGAAGGGTTGGACAGGGTTGGGAGGTTGTGATTGGCTGCTCCCTGGTAGGGACCCTGGAATATGCATCTACTTGTTCCCTGGGTCCTTCATCCACCCAGCCACCCAGCCAGCCAGCCAGCATCTGTTGACCAAGGCTTCCTGTCTACCAGGGCTGGGCCCTGGGCAACACCGAAGTGAACCAGACCCACGCCTGTCTTAACAGCTCCCGATGTGCCGAGGTTGTGGGGGGGGACCGACCGCATGACCATCATGACGCAGGGTGACTGTGCCAATCGTGAAGGCACTGGGGCTTGCCGGGCGCACAGCTACAGCCACTGATGCAGCCTTGGGAGGTCAGGGAAGGCTTCCTGGAGGAAGGTACATTGGAGTCAGATGTTCAAGAGCAGGGAGAGTGTTTGTCACATGGCTGAGAGAGGGAAGGGGATTCCAGGCAAGGAAGCTACACTCAAGAATCTCAAAAGCAGGAAGGAGCTGGGCCTAGTAGGGAAACGCACTCCAGTCTGCAGGAGGCAGCCGTGGGAATGCTGGAAGATGGGGCTAGTGCTCAAGTGAGGAACTCGGGTTTTCTCCTGAGGGTAATAGGGAGCCATAGGGGAATTTAAGCGGACAAGGGACACAGTCAGCTCTAAATATTAGGAAGAGCCTTTAGGGACCAAGTGAAAATCGGTCTGCAGGGAGACCACTGGCCTAGGCAAGAGCAGGACAGAGAGAAGGGATGGGTGTGAAAGGGACGGGGAGGGGGAGGCTTGGCGCATGGGGACTGGCTGGTTGCCGGGAGTGAGGGAGAAGAGGCGTGAGTGTGACACTGACGGAGCAGCCCCTGCGTCCCCGTCACAGTGCAATGCGATTGACGGTGATAATACAGCTTGGGCATTAGTTACCTAGTGCCACGCAACAAATTACCACAAACACAGAGGCTTAAAACAACACAGATTTATTATCTCAGTTTCTGTGGACCAAGA